GAGAGAGCAATTAAAGATGTGTGCTAGGGTAGGCACAAGACAAGGGGAGAGAGATCTGATGAGGTGGGATGGGACAGGATCGAGCGGGCAAGTGGTGGGGCGATTATTAAGTAGCGTTCATAAAACAATATGACAAGATTTAACTGCATACCAAACACATCATACTACAAAAACATCACAGACAATACAAAAACAAACATTTATGGCTATAGGAGTCTGCAGTATATTAAGCGTCTAGAGGACCTTTAACTATAGTTAGTAACATGGAAATATAAGCTGCATGAATTTGAGCGAGAATTTTAATTAAGCTAATTAAGGAGTCTGTTTAAGAGTCAGATTGCCCTGCTTTCATTCTAGCAAGAAATAAACATACATTCATTTATTTGCAGCGCTTAACATTAATAATATATGTGATTAATTATTACTAGAGTAGCTTCTAAAGAAAAATTCAGAGAGACAATAACAGATTTAAATTGGTCAAGGAGCCCAACATTAGCATAACAACATTATACCGATCTCCAATAAAGAGCCAATGTTTATATAAACAATTTACTGGGTTAGATTTCGAAATAATTTCCTAGAGACATTTAATATTGTCAATGAGGTTTGAGTATGGCTCAAGATATCTACGGTTGGAGTAAATATACGTAATCAGGACCTTCTCCATCTCTAATTGTTTTAACAATTGGCCTTTAAGTTGTTCTTTTGTTGGTATATCTGTTTTTTTCCAGTATCTAGCAATTAAGATCTTAGTTGCCATAAGGCAATGGATTATCATAATGTCTGTCTTCCAAATATCTTCACTTCCAAATAAATGCAATAAGGCAATTTTCGCTTTTTTCTCAAGTGTTAAACCTCCTATTTTATATATTAGATCGAATGCTTTGTTCCAAAATATCTTAATTCTAGGGCAGGTCCACCAAATCTGTACCACTGAGCCATCTAGCTGGAAACACCGCCAACAATTCGGAGGATTTGACTGAGATATCTTAGTTAATCGTGTTGGCACCATATACCATCTATACATAACTTTTATATAAAAGTCTCCAAAATGTTCAAGCAGTGGATATGTTTTTTAACAATTACAAATGACTGACACCAATTTATTGTATAAATATTGCTAAATCACTCTCCCATTTCAATAGAGAATACTTTAGGAATATATGGACCTCCCTTCAGTTTTATTAGTTCCAGTGCCACCGAGCTTGTATTATCTATGTGGGACCTGCAGCTTTTTAGTAACGTCTGCCATAAAGGACTTAATTGTTGCTACAGTGAGGGGGGCTATCCTACAGAATTGAGGTTGGTGAGGAGGGGGGAGATGGAGAGCCCTCCTGTGATCCCTGGCCGTCGCCATCTCGGATTTCCTTGTGGCCGTCGCGGGGTCTGGTATTCACTGCTTTAGCCATATAGAAGGAGGCTTTGCCCAATTTTGTAGGTTTCTTGTTGCTGCGGTGAGACATTGCGCTGGTCCTTGCAGGTTTTCTACATGTTTTAAAGCTGTGTAGTCCGGTTATATATTTCTCCCTAAGCGCTTATCCTCTCGAAGCTCTAAGGAAACATGTCCATGCAGCTCGGGTGTTAGGCCACCCCTTTCCCTCCCCAAAAAAAAGTTCCAAAAAAAAAATCTAAACACACTGCACTGATAGTGTACGTTAACACACATAGGTAATGATGCCATTCAAATGGGGATGAAATCAGTATTGTCAAAGGGTTATTCCAGGCATCATGACTACTTTACTGATTTGAAGTGGTCATGGTGCCTGGATTATGTATATGCAGCATTCCGCTTTGAAACACTTCACATACAACATAGCTTAACCCTCCAGCTGCAGAAGCTGTAAGTTTAGCTCCAACAGATAGCATCACGGAGGCACGATTAGTCAATTTTTTCACATTGCCCTCAGCAAGAGAATGGCACAGTCATGAATGGCATTGTAGAAACTAAAGGGCATGTCAGCAGAGGATCTGAACCATTGCTAAACAGTCTTCCCATTACTAGGAAATAGGACCAAGGTACTCATAACATCATAAGAATTACAGCTGGCTCTAGTGGTTATGAAGCTTGGAGTAACCCTATAATGCCAAAATTAAACTTTCACAATAGCAATAAAGCAAATGAGCGGTCTTAGAAGCCTGCAGGACCCTCAATCTGTGTCAACTGCGTGAAAATAGTTTAAACCAAGGGGCCACCAGTAGCCTGCTAAGACCATACCTACTACTGCAGTGGTTATGCTATGCTTAGACTGTTCCCTTAAAAATTTTGTATACAATGCCATACATTTTCTCTGAACAGTTCTTAAATAGTATTTAACCATTGAAATGGTTTTCTATCAAAACAAATTATGCAAGTGCCATTGCAAATTGAAAATATACACCACAACTACTTATAATTATTACTTACACACCTAAAGAGGTCTCGCTTTCTGAATTGCTTGAAGTGCTTTCCGACACTGCTGGTAGAGTTGTCTACAATTGAAAAAAAAAAAAAACAGTCACAATTTCTGTATATTAACACATAATAATATAACCAAATATTATTTTACATAAGGAGCAAATAAGACTTTAGCCTTCTAATTGTAAACAAATACATAAAATAAGTGCTATCACACTTCACCTGCAGCAACCAAACTGGAATCCTTGTAGGACAATTCCAAGTAACAAATAGTGCAAAAGAATTGCTGCACAATATGAAATAACATTAAAATATTGTACCCTTAAGTGATTAATTACAAATGCCACTTAATACAATAAAGTGCTGAATTAGCAATACACAATATGAACAATCACAAGTACAGTCGCTTAATCTTCAAAAGTTCAAAACAGTGACACAAACTTATGCAATATGTGTAATAGTGTAAATCACAACACAATTAGTGCTGCTAACCTACATTGTTTGTTTAACAATACACAAAAAAATTTCGACAAAAAAACATATACTTGCATCAAATTCCCAATTTGAGAGCAGAAGACCTAAAAAACAAACAAAAAATAATAATAATAATAATAATAATAGAACAAATCTAGTGCAATAAAACCAACAGTGAGTGGATAAAGTGCCACAATAAAAAGCATTCCTCAGCAAGTGTCACTTCCTAAGCACTTCACTGTGACACTTGCTGGGGAACATTTTTTAATAAAGATATAAATTATTATAACTGCGACTTCAGCTGTTGGCGAGTCTGTGCAATATCGAATCCCACGCACACATGGGGCTGATCCCCCCTGGGCCATATTGTTGATTGGCACTTAACCCACATCTTATAGATATGTTTATATTGGTTTTATATTTTTCAGCAATATTGCACTAGATATGTTCCTTCCATTTGGTATTTCTTTTTTTTTTTTTTTTTTTAAGATTGTCTGGAGCCATATCTGGAATTTGGTGCAAGTATAGGTCAAAATCCTCTTTGTGTATTGTTACACACACAAACACACAATAAGGGTTTGCTGCACTAATTGTGTTATGATTTACACTATTCCAAAAATTACTAGGCCTAAAATCTCCACAAGTATCTGTTAGTTACACGTAGCTAAGATACTGTCATCAATGTAATGAGCATGTGCAAGAATTGAAACCACATTCGCTCTCCTAGTCCCATATTGCCTATCCATATAAGGTAATCCTGTATATCCGGTTTGCTGGTTGGTGTAATGGTACAGTTGGGGGATGTATAGTCTATAAAAAGCCAATATTTTAAGACTCCAGTGCTCAGACTTTGCACAAGAGTCAGTCTGAGACTCGGTCGGTTAAAATAAACATCTTTGCCTCCTGAAGTGACCTGCTTCCGGATTCTGTGTGTGGCTTCTTCAGTGTTCTCCCGCAACAGTACTTGTGATTCTGCACGCTGTATATGGCTAATTCAGCACTTTGTTTGGTATCAATTAAGTGGCATTTGTATTTAATCACTTAAGAATACGCTATTTTAATGTTTTTTCATATTGCGCACCACCATTTTACCATGACAGGAGGCTTCCTATTTTGCATTAAACTTTCTTTACTTTTACTCCAGCAAAGTATTAACCAATCAAAAAGAAGAGATATAGAGTATATAAGTCTAGGTCCGCCCACACACTTCCTTCTTTGCTGCTCCAGCAGGATACAGGTCAGAGTACTCACTCCTGCTGTTAGACTTACAGCTTTTATTGATCCATTTGTTTATTTCCTAATTTGGATTTTTAAATTTATACTGCTTTCTATTTTATATTTCTTTCCATACTGCCTGGGCCCACGGGAGTTTGTCGCGTGATGGCCGCCATCTTGAATCTCGCGCGATAACTATATTGGATTCTCTTTCGGACTTCGTTTTCTCACAGGAATTTGCTTAAATGTTCGGATTCCTGTCAGTCAGACTGCTTGTTTCACAGATCATCCTAACAACCTTTAAGACCTCTGCTACCTCAGGTGCCTGCTTCACTGTACTGTCCAATACTATATGCTGCAGAATATGTATGTGTATTAACACTAACCTTAACAATAATTAATTAATATGACTGCCACATAACTGCAGAGGGTTGCACTCTCCACTATAACAGATTACTGTTAATACCTTATATGGTTGTTATTGTGTATGCTATTACTAACTGCCAGATTCAGCTGCACACAGGGGTGAGCCCCTTGCAATACTGTTGGGGTGAACCTCAATATATCCTCTATTGTCCATATAGGGTAAATATTATTCCCCTAACAGCGGTACCTAACATACATTTTGATTGGGGTGAGCCCCCACTGGTGGTATCTCCCACAGTTGGGGGACTTAGGGGCACTCTCCCCCTCTGGCTACTGGAGTCTCTCTACGTCTCCCCATATGTACAAGGGCGTTAATCCCCTTCTCTTTAGACCGGCACTGCAGCCAAAATTACACACACCCACACCCCCCCCCCAAATACCTACGGCTCTGTGGCAAGCCCCAATACAGTCATTGCAGGGGGGCCGCTCTGACGCGCCCAGCTTATAATAAGCTGTTCTAAACAGTGTACAGGATGACCCGTGGTGCATCATGTCAGACTCACCGCAGCAGACTCAGGACTTTCAGTCCATCAACGCTGCAGTTGGGGCCTCCATGGAAAAGGCCATTTCAAAAATACTGACGCACCTTCCTCCGGAAAACCCCACCCAACCTATGGGGGTGACGGCCCAAGACACGGAGGATGTTGTGGGCTCGAAGTCTCTATCAAAGGCCTACCACCGCTACCCAAACGACACAAGAAGGGCTTAGCGGGCCCTAAGACTAAGGGAAAAGGGCCGATCAAATGCCCCAGACACATAGCCTTGCCCGAACCTCCACTTCCCACACTATCATCGGGGAGGAGGATGACTACCTACCTACATCACTGGACGTGGTAGACGAATGGCACTCCGAATTTGGTAGACGAATGGCACTACGAAGGGCAGAAGACTCCGAATTTGACTGGGACGTCCCATTCTCGGACCCCAACTTCACAGGGAATACCTATGCTGAGAGTTATCCCCCACATGACGAGGGGGAAGACTTTGCCTCTGAGGGCGAAGGCCTCTTCTTGGACACCAAAGGCTGCCCACTGTTTGACCCCAGGACCATCAGACACCCTCGGTCCTCTGAGTGGAGTCTACCGACTCACCTTGCCAAGTTTGTACATTATTGGTTCAGGTACCCTCTAGACCGGGTAGTGCGAATTCGCCGACTGGCGGAGTGCCCCCGAACAAAAGCTCCCGGACAAGATCGCTGTGACTCCGGTGTTTGAAGAAACAATGGTAGTATTCATGTCCCGGACGGGATGCGACCCTCACAAGGGCATCAAAAGAGGGCTCAAAGCAACACAAGATAAAATGCTAGACTTACTGGTTCCACTAGGGAAGATACTATACTTCGCAGACCTAGCAGTAGCCCAAGGCACCCAACTTGACGCAGGGGCAATTCGTGAATGGGCCCAAAGGGGCATTTGCATGCTTGGTAATATCAATGCCGCAATCTGCACCGAAAGACGCAGGGCCGCCCTCCTACGCATTGACATGAATCCTGCAGATGGTACAGGGCTACATCATTGAATTCTACGCCCCTCCCCACCAGAAATACCTACCGCCACCACTTTGGGTTGCCAAAGATCACAAGAGGCTTTTAGACAAAGAAATCCGCTCACTATTTTCCAAAGGCGCGGTACAATACGCAGAGGATGAGGGCAGTTTCTTCAGCAATATCTTCCTGGTTCAGAAAAAGACCAGAGATTTCTGCCCAGTAATAAACCTAAGGCAACTTAATTCCTTTGTGATTTACCGCAATTTCAAAATGGAAGGAATTCATCTTGTACGGGGTCTCCTACTGAAGGGCGACTGGTTCACCCATCTGGATCTCAAGGATGCCTACTTATCGGTGCCCCTTTGACCGACGGTTCCTCCGCATTCACTGGCGAGGCAGCCCTTGCCAGTTCACTTGTCTCCCATTCGGACTCAGCTCGGCGCCATGGTGTTTCACGAAACTGCTGAAACCAGTCATGGCTCGTCTGTTTCATGGGGTTAAGATGCATAATTCATCTGGACGACTTGCTGATTTTCTGCGATTCCGTGTCTTGACTGCAGTATCAGACGAACTTTGCCGCACAATTACTCGAATCATTGGGCTTCATAGTCAACAGGAACAAATCAGCACTGATGCCGACCCAGATCGTTTAATTCCTGGGATTTGAAATAGATTCAAATGCGTGTGTACTAAGTCTACCCCTTCAGAAAATAAAAGCCATTCGGAAGGAAATTCGAAAGCTGTTACGGATGACTCAGGTTCCTCTGCGGTTGCTGGCCAGGATTGTGGGCCTCCTCTCAGCCTCGATACAGGCAATTTACCAAGGCCCCCTTTACTATCAGGCCATGCAGAGAATGAAGGCACGCTACCTACGGTCAGGATTTATGTACGACCAGAAGGTTCCACTCGACAACGAAGTGCGGAGGGAACTTCATTGGTGGCTCCGGCACATGCACACTGCACAGAGTCTTCCACGGAAGGACCTTGGTAGGATGAGGAGACCGATTTACAGATCAACTGCTTGGAATTGATCGCAGGGTCCTTCGCCATTCGCAGTCTGGCTCGCAACATGTCCAATTGTTGCATCCTCCTGCGCATGGACAACATATGGTCTGTCCAATATATCAACCGCCTGAGCGGTGCTCGCTCTCAGACTATCGGAAGCGGTCAAGGACATATAAAGTTTCTACCTTCCACGCAACATAACACTACAGGTGGAATACCTACCAGGAATATCCAACTGCACGGCGGATTGGTACTCACGAGCCTGGAGGGACAGCAGCGGCTGGCGCCTCCACGAGACGATCTTCTACAAACTAGCCGATTGCAGGGGACCACTCCATCACAACCTTTTCACCTACCGGACCAACCGTCAACCCAGATTCTTCAGCTTGCTTCCGGACCCGGAATGCGAGGTGGTAGACTAATTTCTCCAGAGATGGCCACCGACCGGTGCCTACGCCTTCCCTCCATTCTCCATTTTGGCTAAGGTTTTCCACCACGTTCGAGTTCAGGGAACCTCGCTACTTCTCATCGCACCACACTGGCTAAGCCAGGCATGGTTCCCTGATCTATTGGAACTACTCGTACACGGAGGTGTGGAAGCCGCAGAAATAGTGATAATAAAAAAACTCAGAGCTCTCTAATTCCATACTTCACAGAGATGGACACCAAAATCTAATTTGATCGGGCTCAGAGCGCTGAATTTCAGAAACCTTGCCCCGGATAAAACCAGAGATATCTGCAGGATCCACAATTTCCCTCTAAAGGAAGAAATTCTACAGTCAAGAGAGATTCTATATGAGGGACATAATGTCACCATCTACCAAGACCGCTCTCAAGCCACCCCATACGCCAGACACACCTCGAGACCTGTCACAAAGGCCCTTTATGAAAGGAATATGATTCAAGTGGAACTTTCCCTTTGCCCTCTTGGTTTTACACCATGGCAAGACGCTAGCGATCACCACTCCAGCTGATATCCAACCTTTTAAGCAAGCGCTAGACATTCCGATTAAGGAAATAGAGGACTGGACTGGTCTCGTTTGATCACCTGGCCCCTCGGCCGCAGAGGAATAGATGGCAAAGGTCCCCTAGGAAACAGAGAAGACAGACCTCTGCACCCAAGGATGCTCCACAAACTCCTAGGGATAAAGTATCCTGAGCAGATGGAACCACGTTGGAGATATTCTTTATCCTTATTATGGTTAGATTGTCGGCTATCAGTCTAAAGCAGCCATGAATAGAATATATACACTTTAATAACTATTTACCACTTTAATAGAGGATTATGATGCCGCTGTTAAACCAAAGGTCATATGGTATTCTATCACACACAGATTGCAGAGATGTTATGCTTTTGGATCTGGGACCCATGACTTTGAGACAATGGTGTCTTGGTCATGGTTACATGAGACCCTATAGAATAATGACAGAGTAAATGCGGGAACTTTAAGCTACTCACGTTACCCCCCAGAGAAATGCACTGGTATAATTGCGAGCACCCGAGAGCTTGTCACAAATTCTGCATCAACTCACAGGTTACATGCAATTCTATCACTTGCAGTTTATTGTACATAGTTATGTTTAACTTTTTGTTCATTATACCCTTGCTGTAACACTGTCTACAATTATCAAAGTTGGGGGAATGACTGACACGCCAGGAGACTGGCCCTACTGACCTCAGATGGCCAAGTTAAACCTATTCTCTCTGAACGTCAGAGGGCTAAATACCCCACAGATACGTACAATCCACACCCAGAAAATAGGAGCTTAGCAGATGTCTTCTTCCTACAAGAGACACACTTCTGAGAGGGCTTGGCTCCTAGACTACATTCCAATAGGATAGCATGGTCATACTTTAGTATCAATGGGGATTTGGATGTAGAAATTAAAAAAGTTAAAGAATTTGACAAAGAATCTAACTACTCAGCCATGGAAACCAAGTTACAAAAGAACTTTGATAAGTTCTAAAGGGGCTTCAGGGACTTTCAGGAGGAGAACATCTTTACAAATAAACATAGAACTAGGAATGATAGAATGCTTAGGAATGGGAGCCTCTTCCAGAATCCAGAAAATTTAACACACAAAAAAAAAAACCCTACAGACATTCCCAACCATCTCCCTCCACCCAGACGAAAGGCATCTTGAGAAATACTGGAAAAAAACTAAATTTTCCAACACTACCTATGATTCTAATTTGGATTCTCCCTCTATCCATGAGGCCTTCTCTCTCCCATCCCAGTCCTTATTGTCTTTTTTAGATCAAGACTGGCCTCGGTCACAGAAAGAGAGAGACTCAGAGACAGAAGGAAGTGGGGTTACAAAACATCCAAGAACTACCCATAGATACAAAGATGGTTGATAACAAAATAATCAAGCTATCCAAGCTTGTGTGGCAACCTAGACACATATCTTTTAACCCCTTAAGGACACATGACATGTGTGACATGTCATGATTCCCTTTTATTCCAGAAGTTTGGTCCTTAAGGGGTTAAATAAAGGTTTATCTTATGTTCCAACACCCTTAATAAATATTTTTAACTGGGCAAAAGATGTACATATCTGTGGTCAGAAATTGGCCCTCCATGCCTGCCATGAGAAGAGAAATCTCAGAACAATGAAGGAAATGGGATTATCCACAGATGACGAGTTATACAAACTCCTAAAAGGCCTTTACACTGAACAAGAATTTTCAAGTACCCTTATTGACTTTAGACCTCGAAGTTGGTTCAACCCTAACTTAAAATAATTCCTCTGTATTGACCAGTTTGTGCAAATTTGTACGAATTAACTTGAAAAACAAATCAATACACAAACACATATCAAATATCACTTTTTTTGTGAAAGACAAGCATTACAGGAACTACAACAGCAAACTGATATTGTCATCAAGTCTTCGGAAAAGGGGGAAAAAATCGTCCTCGTGAATAAAGACCAGTAAATTGATATGTGTATGACTCATTTGGCAGATGAATCCTCATATCAAATACTTCAGGGAGATCCCACTGCTATTTACCTTAAGGATCTCAAAACAGAATGAATACAGATCCATTGTCTCGCAGTCCAATATACCTGTAGCTACATTCTACTGCCTCCCAAAGGTGCACAAGGATCTACATACAACCACCAGGCAGACAGATTGTGTCCAGTAACCATTGCCTTACTGAAAGAGCTAATAAGTTCCTGAAAAAACTACAACCTTTGGTGCATATGTGATCCAA